CTTTCACACACGAATGGATGGGGTTCTCCAAGTTTCAGGATATTGAAGCAGAGTGTTTTTTGCTAGCAGGGTAGTCTTGCAGAGCATACAAATGACTGGATGAGAAAGGGAAGCTGGACAAGTAAACTTTGAGGTCTTTTTATAAACAATTAGCAGGGCCGTTCACCCTGTGAATGCTCGCTCTGTGCGAATACAATATATATATATTTTTTTCTTGGACCGGTTGAATATTTTTTGAACTTTTCATGTAATACCACATTATGGCCACTAGATGGCAATGAAGGAGCATAGGAATAGAAATTGATTTTCTATGCTCCAAAGCGCCATCTAGTGGCCATAATTAGAAATGATATTGGAAAAAAACACATTTGAATATACATTGGGGGGAATTTATCAAAACTGGAGCAGACAAACTCTGGAGCAGCTGTGCATGGCAACCATCTCTCTTTCATTTTCAAATTTTAACTGAACAAACTAAAGAGAGAAGCTGATTGGTTGCCATGCACATCTGCTCCAGTTTTGATAAATTCCCCTCATTCTGTTGAAAAGAAACAACTAAAGAACGCTCGTTGTGCCATATGTTTGCACAGAACGACCGTTCACAGATATTTACCAGGTGAACCACCACGCCAATAGTTCATGTATGGACCCCTTTGTCTTTTGTATGATTTTGTAAGGCAACATTGAAAGTTTCATCTTTGTCATTTTAAGGGTCTCTCTCTAAAAGACTATGAGGGATATTGATCAAAATCTGGAGCAGCTGTGCATGGCAACCAATCAGCTTCTCTCTTCAGTTTGTTTGGTTAAGATTTGAAAATGAAAGAGAGAAGCTGATTTGGTTGCCGTGATTTTGTCTGCTCCAGTTTTGATCATTTCCCCTCTATGCATACATTTGCTATGAGTGAAATATGAAAGCTACCATCCTGAAAATGCAAGTAGTGGACTCAAGTACCTCCTGAGCCCCCGATGAAGTACACGGAGCCACAGCTTTGCCTTCGCTGGATGTAAGGTTGTTTTTTTTTAGGTCATGGCTTAGAAATCCTTAAAGCCATCCATTGAAACGTTTCAGAAGTTGAGCAGCAATGTTATTCTTCGTGATTATAGAATTGCATGTTAAATCATTCTCTGACACGCACGTTTCTAATGCCATGCACATGACTCGGTCACATGCTTTTAAACATAGAGAAGCAAGTTCAGCTCCCAGCATGCAATGTTATTTTCGGGTGAAAATAACAAATGGTCAAATTGCTTCACCTTCCAGCATCATCTCTACCTTTTCTTCAAGGAGAAAGGAGCGAGCTCTGGGGCCTGGAGGGTGGGGTTTGAGTATTGCTAACATTGGAGATTGCTGGGCAGTGGTCTTCAAGACATACGGTGCATTGACCTCAATGTAACATGCATGATGTGGGAGGTGGCCCTTGGTCAACTCAAGCGATGGTGGTGGCGTGGGACTTCATGATAACACGTCAGACCACCGTTCAAAATGACACATCACATTAAGGTTCTGAGCCACGAAAGCCAGATCCAGAATATTCAATGTATGGAACTGTTGGCTGTATGAGGTATAATAGGAGACAACCGTGGTGAACCTCATGGCCCAGCAACCGCTACAAAACCATTGATCCCGTAAATCTCAGTTTTGTTTACATCCCGTGATGGTGGAATCTTTGGAATGAACAGACAGAAGAGACAGAGGGGGTGAGTGATGGTGGCCTAGTCATGTATAACATTCAGAAGCTATGAGGACCTTGTGGAGTTGCTGCCACCAGATGAGCTGCTGTTCTTAGGTCAAAGATGGTCCAAAAAAAAAAATTTACAAAACAGGTGTTTGTTTTCTGGCTGCTGTGTAAGTTACTCTTAGGGCCCACTCACCCCTATGTAAGGGCCCACTCACCCCTATGTGAGGGCCCATTCACACTATGTGCATTGGCCTGTGTTGCTTACTGCAGGCCTACTGCAAGGGCCTCTCTCTTAAGGTGGCCATACACTGTACAACCATCGCAAGACCTTAGTCTTGCGATGGTTGTAAAGGGATTAAAAAAACGTACGATCTGCCTATCTTGGACAGGCAGATCCTACTCTCGATCATCGCAAGCCACGCCCCCTGAGGGGCGGGCTTGCGATGACTAATGAGGGGCGGGCTTACGCTGACTGCAAACGGGCAGTGTGCGCGTGCGGCAGTTGTCGAACCAGCAGGCCACCAACTCGCCGAGAATCGTATGATTCCCGGCGGGTTTTCAAACATGCTGGTTCGATGGAATACATCATTATTCTCAGACAAATTCACTGCAACACTTTACAAAGCGTCACTGCATGTTGCAAGGTACTTCATGCATAGAATTATTATTATACAGGATTTATAGAGCGCCAACAGTTTGCGCAGCGCTTTACAATATAGGGCAGACATTACAATCACAATACAATTCAAGACAAGACGGTAAGGAGGGCCCTGCCCCTGAGGGCTTACAATCTAAAAGGGAGGGGGAAGTGATACATGAGGGGGTAGCTATGTGGGGATGAATTGTCTGAGAATAATGATGTATTGTTTGGCTCCTGCTGTGAGCAAAAAAAACACATCAACACAATGCGTTAAAAAAAAACCCCATGTCAACACTTGTCTACTCAAGTGCGCTAAACGCAATGCTGGTGTGTATGCGGGAGCATTCCCCAGTTGAAATGTGCTATGTTGTAATAATACATTATGGCCACTAGATGGAGTCTTCCCAGTCTGATGTAGTGTGTTGCAATATTACATTATGGCCAATAGATGGAGCTAAGGATATAAATCCTTATTTCCTGTGCTCCTCAGCGACATCTGGTGGCCATTATGTAATATTACAACACACTACATTCAAACTGGGGGAAACTCCATCTAGTGGCCATAATGTAATATTACACACACTACATTCAAACTGGGAAAACTCCATCTAGTGGCCATAATGTAATATTACACACACTACATTAAATCTGGGGAAACTCCATCTAGTGGCCATAATGTAATATTACACAGATTACATTAAATCTGGGGAAACTCCATCTAGTGGCCATAATGTAATATTACACACACTACATTAAATCTGGGGAAACTCCATCTAGTGGCCATAATGTAATATTACACACACTACATTCAAACTGGGAAAATATATATTAGGAAATATTTGTTTTTGGCTTTTTTCAACCACAACGATTGTTCACGGATATTTGCAGGGAAAGGGACGTGCAAATTGTTTATAAATAGACCCCCTGATGTCCTGAGCAGTTTAGTTCACCCCTGGAAGGATTTATCCTTACTTCCTGTTTGTCCACTAGAACAGGAAGTGATGGGAAATCTCCCGGGCCAAAACAAACAAACCAAAACCAAATCATCGCCCATTTTGCAGCTTTTACGGCTTATAAACTCTAATTGTATCTCATTGTCCTCATCGGGGAGCGATGGCAGATCAAGAAACGTGCAGCTCGGCATGTCACACGACCTTCCTTGTCACCTGTCCCCGCCCCCCGATATTAGGTTCCTGTCAGTTGGGAACCTCCTTGTGCTGATTCCCGGAATACAGGTCACATGATCACTTCTCGGAAAAATTTGCATAAACTGTAATTAAGCGCACTGTGACGCATGCTGCGGAAACCTGACTGGTAGCTTCAGGCGTCTTCCGGCTCCTCCCATTCTGCTAAAGCTGAACTCTGCGCACACATTAAGAGACTCCCGGGAATGTAGATGAGTGTTATAATTACAGCCAATCTCCTTGTACAGCAGGACTCAGACTGGGAGAAGGAGGTCACCTGACCCTTTTCTAGCTGCCATAGGGAAGGGTCAGGTCTGCCTCTGTGCTCTCTCTGTGGCCCCCGACTGGGTCTGTGCTCTCTCTGTGGCCCCCGACTGGCTCTGTCTATGGCCCCCGACTGGCTCTGTGCTCTCTCTGTGGCCCCCGACTGGGTCTGTGCTCTCTCTGTGGCCCCCGACTGGGTCTGTGCTTTCTCTGTGGCCCCTGGCCAGGTCTGTGCTTTCTCTGTGGCCCCTGGTCATAACCTGTGGCCACTGCTTGTGCTCTGCGTTAGGTCCCTGGCTGGGGTCCTTGGCCAATTGCTGGACTCTGTGCTTTGTCTATGCACCTGGCTGGGTTTGTGGTGCCTGGTCGGGCTCTGTATGCGGCACTTGGCATGTTCTCTATCTGTTGTCCCTGGCCGGGGTCTGAGCTGTGAGCTCTACGGTCTACGGCCCCGGTCTGGTCTGGACTCTCCGCTGCGGAGTGGGCGGTCTCTCTCTCGGAAAGCATCGCGGTTTCCGTGGAAACATACAGCCACGCCCCCTTTCACTCTCGCGGGATGGCTCCCTGCAATAATCTGGCTGCTGGAAAGGAGAGGGCGGGGTGACAGCACGGGGCGGGGCCGGTCGGCAGTACGGGCAGCTCAATGCCGGCTGGCCGGTATCGAGATGACAGCAACCAAGGAAGATGGGGACGGCATGCCGGGTGAGTGTGATCCCAACCCGCCGACAGCGGCGATCGGACTGTGTGTGCTTATACCCCGAGCACCGATACTGCACCGTATACCGCTCCGCACACCGATAGCGCCCCTTATCTGATCCGATACATCACACTTCCTATTATCACCTGAAAAGACCTGATTTATATATAATTATCACCTGTACGATCCTATACATCACCCTATATAATACTGTGATCACTTGTACGATCCTATACATCCCTCTATAATACTGTGATCACCTGTACGATCCTATACATCTCCCTATATAATACTGTGATCACCTGTGCGATCCTATACATCTACCTATATACTGTGATCACCTGTACGATCCTATACATCCCTCTATAATACTGTGATCACCTGTACGATCCTATACATCTCCCTATATACTGTGATCACCTGTACGATCCTATACATTACTCAGTAACAATACTTCCTATTATCTCCTAGTGCTGTGTGATCTATACATTGATGATTTTAATACTTCCTATTATCATGCATAGAATTCTCAGGTACATTTCTCTGTATTATCCTCTATAGGGCACTGTATGACCCCAGACATTACTTTGTATATTAATCCCTATGATCACTTTGACAGTTCTATAAAATTGGATAAATGACTCTGTATACTGATATCTATAGTGTGCTGGGTGATCCTTTACATACTATATATTAATACATATGTTACTTCTTTTATCCCAGTTCATACAGTTCTATGTATTTCACCTACTTCTTCCCCCTGCAAAGTAACATAGGACCCTATACATCACTCTGACATTCTTATAATCACCTTTACAGTACTATAGGGTCATGTACATTAATCTGATCTTATAATCACCTGTACAGTACTATAGGATCATGTATATTACTCTGATCTTATCACCTGTACAGTACTATAGGATCATGTACATTACTCTGATCTTATAATCACCTGTACAGTACTATAGGATCATGTACATTAATCTGATCTTATAATCTGATTTTATAATGTACCGTACTATGGGATCCTATATATTTCTCTAATAATATAATCCTATGTACAGTACTATAGGATCATGTACATTAATCTGATCTTATAATCTGATTTTATAATGTACCGTACTATGGGATCCTATATATTTCTCTAATAATATAATCCTATGTACAGTACTATAGGATCCTATATATTACTCTATCACCTGTACAGTTCTATGGGATCCAATATATTACTTCTTCAATACTGTGGGATTCCATACATTACTCCTATCTGACAGTCTTATAATCACTTGTACAATATAAGATCCTTTGCATTACTCTGATAATATTATCGCCTGTGCAATATTATGAGGTCCAATGCATTATTGTGTCTGACATTCTTATAATCACCTGTACAATACTATAGGATCCTATACATTACTCCAATATTATCACCTGTACAATATATATATATATATATATATATTTTAGGGTTGCACAGATACCAAGTACAGTACTCGGTACGAGTACATGTACCGATACTTTTGAGCTCCAAGGCTAGACTAGAGACAAAATCCAAAAATTAGGAGGCCGCTGTCATCTGTAAGGAGCACACGGAGCTCCTGGGATTTGTACATCTGAGTTTTATTGTACGATTTTGTTTTTATAAATATAAATAAAGGGATGCACAGATACCAGTTTTGCGAGTACGAGTACTGGTACTTGCCGAGTACTTACAAGTACAAGTACTGATACATTTTTGTTTATGGTCATGTGACAGTTTTTCTAAAACAATACAGACTAATGCTTTCAGGACAGTGGTGGAGCGCCAGAGCCAGGTCCCAGCTGCAACCGATGCAACCCTGGTAGTTCTCTGCTGTCACATATATTATTATATCTGTACAGTGCTGGATATTATACACATACCCTGTCACCTGTAGGTTCTTTTGTACTAGGATTATTCTTCCCAGCTGTGACGTGTATGTTATGGGTTCCTTACATCCTATACATTGTCATAACTCTGCTTTTATACAATTTGTGAGCAGAGGCTTTGGTACAGATGAGTTCTATCCACTCAAAACTGGTAGATTTTGTCATTCTGGGTCACCCACCGTCTGAATGCGGTTGGATTTCGGTTGTTTTCCCAAATATTTTTTAAGAAGAATGCAGCTAGAGGAGTGCGGAATGTATTACCACTCACATAAGGCACAGTACTCCCCTACCAATGCTTTCATCTTTGCTCAGTCATCATCCAGGGTCACCATCTACTTCCCGGACTGAGATCTTGGCTCAGAGATGACACAGTCATGTAAACCCCCCATTGCCTGCCATTCTTGGCTGTGTTCACAAATGTCTGACACAGATCAGCCCCTGCTGCAGCCCCTCACCTTGTGGCTTGTTACAATGATGCATTCTGATCACTGGGGGGAGAGGAGACTTAGAAAATGCTTCCTCCTGCCTGCAGCAGACTGATCACTGGGGAGAGGGGACTGAGGAAATGCTTCCTTCTGCCCACAACAGACTGATCACTGGGGGGATTGGAGACTCAGAAAATGGTTCCTCCTTCCTGCAGCAGACTGATCACTGGGGAAGAGGAGACTGAGGAAATGCTTCCTCCTGCCTGCAGCAGACTGATTACTGGGAGAGGGGACTGAGGAAATGCTTCCTCCTGCCTGCAGCAGACTGATGACATCATCACAGCCATCAACACGAGGTGTTTTCATGATTAAAGACGGAACGTTTTTGGAACAATGATACTGTTGCTGTATATTTTGACATGTCCGGAATTGATTGCAGCCTTGTGAAGTCACTGAAAGTTCCACTTTAACCGTTCTTACTGCAATCTGCTGAATGTATAAAGCCGTAAACCTGAAGTAAAAAGCAGGATTGGTGCGGCGATATAACTGAGTGACTTCTCATACAATCCCCTCTTTCTGTGTTAGAGTTTTTGTTGCAGTTTGCTGGTTTAAATTGCATCTTTCTTCCAAATATTTGTTCCTTTTTTTTTACCTCAATTATCCAATTATCGATTGTTGTTTCTTTTTCTTGTCTGGCCTTTAGATTCATATATCTCCCCCCAGAATCTTTGGGAGAGTTCTGTCAGAAAACCAGCAAACAAGAAGTTGTGAACCTAATTTGGTTTCCAGTTCCTCTATTTATAGGTCCTCAGGGATATTTACCAGATTGCCTAAAAATGGATACACCAAAAGCGGCCACTTTCACCGAGCTGTTCTTTCACCTGACTTCAGAGTCTAGGGGAATGTGGCAGCAGGTCCTGGCACTTCAGTAATGGGCGCAGGAAGGGGAGATGTCTTAAGGGTTGATTCATAAAGCTTTTCCCACAACTATATGTTGGACGAATGTCATCCACACATCATTCCTACCACTGGATGGAGCTGAGGAAGATAGGGATTCCTATGCCTTTCGACTCCATCTAGTGCCGGGAATGCCATACAAATGGCATTCACCAAGGGTATAGCTGGGCAAACGTTTTATGAATCAACCCTTAAGACATCTCGCCATGACTGTGCATTCTTGGCAGGATATCTGCTGGTCTATAGACAACCTTAGGATGAGCATACAGTACATGGGATATATTTTGATCCTTCATGACCAAATTCTGCAGATACCAAGATGGTCTTATAACTGCTACCAGCAACAACAAAATGCCAAAAGTTGCTCAACTGATTTTCCAACTTGCTTGTTTTGCTGTGCTATGCAGGGACAATCAGGACTAGTAAATGACGATGAAGGGTTTAATGTAAACAATATGATCATACTAGGTACAGCAGACCTGGGAAGTCAATGCAGAGATCTCACCAATAGTGGCCCCATGAAAGACGTTCTAATGATTCACCAATCTATCTAAAATAATAAAAAAAATTGGCTAGACATACTCAACCTAACCCTTTAAGGCAAAGTTATCCTTATGGTAAACCCAACCCTAAACCAAACCCATTAATCGAGTGTTGGGGAAATTATTATGGAATTCAGGAGCCAGTTTGTCCAATTCAGGAGCCACCAGGCTTTTTTTATAGGAGCCAGCTCCATTGACAACAACTAGAGGAAGCCTCACAAAGTTAGGTGCCAGTTGTAATTCTTACGGAGCATTGGCTACCTGGATGCCAGGAATTTTCCAGCACTGACCTAATCCTAAACTTTACCCTCATCATTAGGACAATGAAACCCATAATAATAAAAACTGTGTGCGGGCTGATACTTGGAAAGCTCAGGTGGCAGAAATACTCTGTCTAATAATCCCAAATCATTGCATCTAAAACTATCAATCCAACTTGAACTACCTTGGATGGAAATAAAATGTCCTCGGTGTGTTAGCAAGGACCTAAAACCCAGGAGTACACTCTCTGGTCTTATGCATAGCTTCTGCCATTACCCAGCCCAATGAGGCAGAAGCTTTCTGTTTACCATTGACCGGCTTGCATGAGATGTTGGCATGGTATGCCATTTATCAGAGCTCCAGCTTTCAGCTACAGTTGAGTCCTGAATACAATTATGTTTGGGGACTTTGGGTTGCACCAAAGATTTCCTCACAACGAAAGGCACAGGCAGACATCTGCTGGTACCTGCTCATAGGGACTGTTGTTGGGCGTATTTTCTGTATGAGCTTTACTTTAAAATTGGAGGAAGTGGGAGGTGCCGGTGTTCTATCAAAGTTTGTGACTACATTAAAATGTGTGACCGGTCACGTGGTCACACATTTTAACGTAACCCCGCCAAGCTTTTCGTAGGTGAAACGTGTGACCGGCAATAGGTCAAGCATTCCAACGCTTTGTCAGCTGTTCCAGGGCAGATCGGCATCGCAGATCGTATGTGCAGGAGAACCGATCTGCCCTGGAACAGCTGATCGGTCCTGAAATTTCACTTCTATCCGACTTTGTGGTATGTGAGATCACACTCACAAAGTCACATTTCAGGAACGATCAGCTGTCCCAGGACAGATCTGTTCTCCTGCACATACGATCTGCGATGCCGATCTGCCCTGGAACAGCTGAGAAAGCGTTGGAATGCT